TACAAGCTATGTGGGGTTACAATGGATTAATCACGCAAGTAAAAGTATTCTTACAAGCTATGTGGGGTTACGATGGATTAATCACACAAGTACATGTATTCTACAAGCTATGTGGGGTTACGATTGATTAATCACACAAGTACATGTATTCTACAAGCTATGTGGGGTTACGATTGATTAATCACACAAGTACATGTATTCTACAAGCTATGTGGGGTTACGATGGATTAATCACACAAGTAAAAGTATTATTACAAGCTATGTTGGGTTACGATGGATTAATCACACAAGTACATGTATTCTTACAAGCTATGTGGGGTTACGATGGATTAATCACACAAGTACATGTATTCTACAAGCTATGTGGGGTTAAGATGGATTAATCACACAAGGAAAAGTATTATTACAAGCTATGTTGGGTTACGATGGACTAATCACACAAGTAAAAGTATTATTACAAGCTATGTTGGGTTACGATGGATTAATCACACAAGGAAAGGTAATCTTACAAGCTATGTGGGGTTACAATGGATTAATCACACAAGTACATGTATTCTACAAGCTATGTGGGGTTATGATGGTTTAATCACACGAGTAAAAGTATTTTTACAAGCTATGTGGGGCTACGATGGATAAATCACATGAGTAAAAATATTTTTACAAGCTATGTGGGGCTACGATGGATTAATCACACGAGTTAAAGTATTCTTACAAGCTATGTGGGGTTATGATGGATTAATCACACGAGTACATGTATTCTTACACGCTATGTGGGGTTACGATGGATTAATCACACAAGTAAAAGTATTCTTACAAGCTATATGGAGTTACGATGGATTAATCACACAAGTAAAAGTATTCTTACTAGCTATGTGGGGTTAAGGCTAGTTTGTAGCCAAACAATCTGATATGATATGAGATTTTAAAAGCTGGTGACATGGAAAAAGTGTTATTGATTATAATAATATTGGCGTTAATTCTGACAACAGCTGTACACTCCACGTCGATAGTTTAACATTTATTTACAAAGGGCATACATACCATGTTCCTGTCTGGCTTCCGAGTTTACTTTGCTATGTATATATGTTGTTATTTGTGAGGTGTCCAGTCTAAATATTTGTTATCTACATCAGATGACATTCCGTACAGGATTCTTTATTAGAATGGAACAAGATGATATGTATTATACAATTCCAGGTAAGAGAAAGTTCCTTTTGTTTGGTTATTTATGTTATTGATGTTAAAGTAAAATTTTAACCTTGTTTATAACCTGGTATTTTTAGGTCACCTGAGCTTTAGCTATCCGTTTTCGTCCGTCGTCGTCCGTCGTCCATCGTCCGTCGTCCGTTAACATTTTACATTTCAAACTTAAAGTCAAGTTCTGCTGGGCCGATTGAACTGAAAGTTGGTAGGAATGATCGCCTCATGGTCCTGACAAAGTGTTGTTATTTTTCGGGTCGATCAGAAATCCAATATGGCCGCCACGGCCGCCATTTTGAAAACCTATTTCAAACTTAAAGTCAAGTTCTGCTGGACCGATTGAACTGAAAGTTGGTAGGAATGATCGCCTCATGGTCCTGACAAAGTGTTGTTATTTTTCGGGTCGATCAGAAATCCAATATGGCCGCCACGGCCGCCATTTTGAAAACCTATTTCAAACTTAAAGTCAAGTTCTGCTGGACCGATTGAACTGAAAGTTGGTAGGAATGATCGCCTCATGGTCCTGACAAAGTGTTGTTATTTTTCGGGTCGATCAGAAATCCAATATGGCCGCCACGGCCGCCATTTTGAAAACCTATTTCAAACTTAAAGTCAAGTTCTGCTGGACCGATTGAACTGAAAGTTGGTAGGAATGATCGCCTCATGGTCCTGACAAAGTGTTGTTATTTTTCGGGTCGTTCAGAAATCCAATATGGCCGCCACGGCCGCCATTTTGAAAAACTATTTCAAACTTAAAGTCAAGTTCTGCTAGGCCGATTGAACTGAAACTTTGTAGGAATGATCAGCTCATGGTCTTGACAAAGTGTTGTTATTTTTCGGGTCAATCAGAAATACAATTTGGCTGCTATGGCCGCTATTTTGCTACTAAATTCTAATAGGCCGATCTCACTTAAAATTGGTCTAGGAATGATCAGCTCATGGTCCAGACAAAATTAAGTGAACATTATACTATTTTTTACTCAAATTGGTACATATTTCAACAACAAAAATAAATACTGTAGACTCAGGTGACGGTTAAGGCCCATGGGCCTCTTGTTTATACAAATTATGTTTTTTCATTGATCAATACCCAGATTTCGTTAACGAGTGGTTTGAAGATCTATTACATCTATGGTGGACATTGCTGTATAATTTGTGTTATTAAATATTGGCAATCTTAAGAAATCATAAAATTTTAAAGCTTTGTTGTAAGATCACACCATCAACTATCAGTTCAAATTATTTGTTTCATATTAAGTTTAAAAAAAACCTCTTCTCAGATCAAATAACCCTTTTATCATAAATTTTTTTTCTTGGTGTCATTGACTTTAACGTTACCTTGTTGGTCAGAATACAGAGAACATTTTAAATTTTGATGGTGTGAGATATTTGTCATCAGAATAATTTGCCCAATTGAATAACTTGCCCTTTGAAATGTTCACCCTTCTTTGGTAAAATCTTATTTTTGCCAATTAATTTGTCTGTACCATGGAAATACTCTGTAAAGTACTGAGTTTTCATTATTACAGAGTGCGACTGATGCTCGGCTGGAAACCTTTCCTGCTATGTATTTTTGCATTGACCTTTCTGATTGTGACTGGACGTTGGATTAGCTGGAGGTGTCCACCCCCTTGTTCATGGCTATCCTTACTGACCAGTCCAGTCACAATAGACTTAGACGGACACATTTACTCATCTCTTCACTCCCTATATACTGGATCCAGTGCTCAGTTAAAAGGTCACTAGTGCTCAGTTAAAAGGTCATTGGATACTTGTCTTTTGTCAGACTGAAATTTTCTGTTCTGTATTTTTGTTTTCATGTTCTCACTCTGTACCACTGTGTGTCCTGCGGTCCCCATTGGACCACATCACCATGTGAGTTTGGGTGGTGACATGTGGGTCAGGTGGTGACATGTGGGTCCGATGGTGACATGGGGGTCAGGTGGTGACATGTGGGTCAGGTGGTGACATGGGGGTCCGATGGTGACATGTGGGTCAGGTGGTGACATGTGGGTCCGATGGGGACATGTGGGTCAGGTAGTGACATGTGGGTCCGATGGTGACATGTGGGTCCGGTGGTGACATGTGGGTCCGATGGTTACATTTGGGTCCGATGGTGACATGTGGGTCAGGTGGTGACATTTGGGTCAGGTGGTGACATGTGGGTCCGATGGTGACATGTGGGGCCGATGGTGACATGTGGGTCAGGTGGTGACATGTTGGTCCGATGGTGACATGTGGGTCAGGTGGTGACATTTGGGTCAGGTGGTGACATGTGGGTCCGATGGTGCCATGTGGGTCAGGTGGTGACATGTGGGTCCGATGGGGACATGTGGGTCAGGTGGTGACATGTGGGTCCGATGGGGACATGTGGGTCAGGTGGTGACATGTGGGTCAGGTGGTGACATGTTTGTCCGTTGGTGACTCCTGTACAACTGTAGTTATTAATTTCGCTGTATAACCCACATTCCTGTCATATTGATCAAATTCCACATTTTTTATGTCTCACCTGTGTCTCCAGTTTCTTCATTAGTTTATCAGATTCTAATTACTCCCACTGACAAACACTTTTGTTACTCATGACACGTGTTGAAGACTAAAGCAGAAAATTGCAGTATTAAGATTTACCTGATTTCTAACCACAGATAACAGAAATGATTTCACAGGTGATTGGAGCCTTGTAAGGAAGAAATAAACTTTACCAAATCAATGGGAGAAATTCATTGTAGTGTTAGGCTTATCATGTACATTCCTAGCTCTTTCTGGTTTCTCTACTGGGGCTGAATGACACTAGTTATCTTGTAAAATCTTTGTTGATTTGATTGGAATGTAGATACAGGTAATCTTTAATTAAGGACTGACAGGTGCAATGGTCGCGGTGTATCAGTGAGGCCACATACCTATTTCTGGTGTTTTAATGAAGCTTTACTGGAAAATTAAGTCTAACAAACCCCTCAACTGTTGCTGCCTTGTCATCAGAGTTGTGGGAGAGTTCAGTTGTTGGACTAAATCTGCTTCCTGTCCACAATAAACAATGATATCAGACACATTTCATTGGATCCTCAGGCCAACCTTCCGACAATTTTGATGACATTGGTGACCAATATATTTAATTTTTCTAATTCATCAAAAGAAGATCTTGTTGTAATATAATACATGGGTAATTTTATACGATACAAGCTCTTTGATTTTGTATGATACCAGATCTTGAAACAGTATTATACATATGTTCAGAATGTGTGAATTAGCACTACGGTGACTTTATATGGAAGTGACTTGACACATACATGAAGAAGAAAGAATAATGAATTGGAGGTTTAGGTAGACAGTATGTGTTATAACCTAACATGTAACTGCTTCTGACTTGTTGATTTCTTTGATGCCATAGTATTGGATTTGTCTGATAAATCTACAAGCAAGACATTCTTATTAAACTCTTTCGTATATACACTTCTAAACTAAACTATTTGTGTTACTGGAATCACTGTTTATATTTTATTACTCTGTGGACACATTTAATTCCAGAGTGTAACTTTAGAATTTTTTATGTGTGCTTTACTGGAATATTATTGAGTTTAAATTTTCTAAGTTTAAGATATATTTGTACCAGTGAGAAGCAAAGTTTTGTTCATTCTGTGGTATTCAATAATTGTGAGTATCTAGCTATTAGTTAAGGACAATCCTGATCAGGCATCCTCAGTGAGCGTCCTACCTCAATCTGTTAGTCAGTTGTTGCGCTATCATAAAAAAATGTTTAATCATTTCAACTTTTTTCATTTCAACTTTTTTCTTCTTTTCAGAACAAGAATCTGTGCAACAAGATGGTCAATCGTCCCCTTCCAGCCCTCCCTTCCCAAACCAATGGTCAGTCAGGCAGTCCGTGTAAACACAAAAACTGGACAAGTATGGACGATGATGTGCTAGTACCCCGAAGGTCAAGGTCACGGGGAGACAACATGGGAGACTCCCCTAAAAGGAGGCCGGCCCGACCATTAAGTGAAGTGTTCTCTGACAAAAAACTTTCTGCATGTAATTTCCCTGGTGCTAGACTCGATGAGCCTGGGTGTTATATGTATGGCTCGAGGGAAATGCAGACTCGACAAATACGAAACTCAAGGTCAGAGGGCATGCAGATACAACAGCAGCTTCACATACAAAGCCAGCAATTAATAAACAACCACAGATCCCCAAGTAAGCACGATGATCACACTTCACCATCAAAGCAAGTGTTTAGATACCAAAATAACCAAAGTCCCTTCCAAGAGCCTAGCTCCTGTGAGAGTACCGAGGACCCTAGTCAGCCCAACAAATCACGTCCAGGGTAAGTTTTCAAATATTTCGATCACTTTTTGATGTGTTAAATCAATTGTTAGCCTCTGTTGAGACCACTTTTCACTGTTAAAGTTGGAGGACTGGATAACTCACCAAAGGGAAGCTACTCTACACCAGCATTTCAGAAAGGCTGTGAAAGTGTTCCCTATTTTGAGTAGATAATGATAGTTTGGAGTGTCTGATTCTCTAATTCAGCCCAAGGTAGTAATTGTATATGTGTTATTATGAGTAGTAAGCTTATTCAAGAGCTTTTGTGGAAATTGGGCTTAAAAACTCAATAGCCAAAGTGTCAGAAACATTTAAATGTTTATCTTTTGAATTAAAAATCAAAACAGCTGTTAAAATGAAGTTATTGTTTGGAATCAGGAGATTGGATTATTATTAGTCATCAAGTTAAATGCCAAGTTAGATTAAAGAAATGAACCTCTTTGATTTGACTGCGGTGTGACAATACCACTATTGACAGGTCAACTGTTATTGCTAGACTTCTGTCAGGCGACCATTGTGAGCCACAAACACAACGTTTTATACATGTCAAGTACTTACTTGTCTACCACACACAGAAACATTTGTACCAATCAAATCACACAGAGCCATTCACACAAACATATACATTCATCATGTGTTGTTAATTACATAATAAACACAATCATTTGATACACAATAGTTGAGGCCATTATGGATTTTTTTATAGAGAATAATGCTTTGGTTTCACAAGTCTGTCACATTGACAAGGGGGAGATAACTGTACTGACATCCATTTTAATACAACATTTAAAGGCATTTATACTACATCGGTAGTAGCCAAGGAATTCCTCAGGAATTTTCAATGGTTTTGTTAATTGATTACTCATGCTCCGAGCTTGAAGTCAATGAGTATCACATGGGGGCAGATTCTCACGCTAGGGGACAGTCAGGCTCGAGCATGTCCTGTTAGCTTGTCCCACAGTTAGAACGTTTGCAGACTGGTTTAACGCAGATGAATCTTGTTGCAAAAACATGTTATTGATTTAGTATATTCAATAGTGTTTATGTTACTTTTAACAATGATAGTAAACAATAGTAACCTCCTTTCAACAAAACGTGTATGCTAACAAACACAGGCAGATCATTATGTAATGGTTATATGTGGTGTTGGAGTTAATTTTTACACCTCAATTCTATCATTAATAGACCATTAAGTATTTGTTATTCTTTAAGTTTGTCAAAAGAAGCTAAAGGTGATTTTTACCCTGTTGTAACCCTGTCATAAAGTTTGCACAGCATTAGTAATTGTTTAAATCTTACCCTTTTAATTAAACCCAGTTGTTATAGGGATTTATGCAGTATTGAAGTACTTCAAGATAGTATATGGAATTTTGAGTACTAAATATAGAATATGTAAGGAAAATGGAGTGTATATGTATGGAATATATAAAGAGTATGTTGAAAAATTGAACTGTATTCAGTTGGCATTCATAGGCAACTGAAAGAAGTTCAATATTTTTTTTTATTGTTTTTAGAATATGTTGATCTCATAGAAAATTTAACTTACTTATCAAATTTCAGCATTTAGTTTAGTTTTGTATATATGCTTGTTCAATTAATTGAACAGCCATCTTCCAGAAAAGGTTAGTAATATCCAATTTGACATCAACATCTTTGCCTAAAGTACATTCATAACCAATGTGAATGCCATCTGAATTTGGTAGGGTAAATAATGGTTCTGTAACTGTAACACTGTATTTGTGCCAATCATTTTTATTGCTGAATGGTATAAAAAAGGTAATTTGTATCCAATGTTGAGTGTATTTTGATATAAAGTCGACATGCTGATATCTGGGGTATTTTGATAAAAAGTCGACATGTTGATATCTGGGGTATTTTGATATTAAGTTGACATGTTGATGTTGGGGATATTTTGAGATAAAGTTGAAGTAATGATGGTGGGGATATTTTGAGATAAAGTTGACATGTTGATGTCGGGGATATTTTGATATAATGTTGAGGTATTGATGTTAAGGGTGTTTTGAGATAAATGGAGTACTTGTGTCTGACTCGGGCGGTGACAGTCAGGGCAGTGACAGTTAGGATGGCCAGTAGAAGTGTCAGGAATGTAAAGTACCGGACCAGATTACCGGGTTACTAGCATTTTATTCAAATCTCGAACTTGAAAACTTTAAATTGTTTCTCTACAAAATGCTTCTGACAATACATATGTAGATTCCCTCGGACTATTTTATCCAAAAGAAGTTTTAATTTGTTTTTGTACAATCGTAAAGCTAGTGTAAAAGAAAAAATCACCGACATTTGTCTATACACGTCAACATGCTGGAGTGAAAAAAAACAGAACATGCAACGAGAAAAGTCAGAAAATCACACAGTGGATTGGAAGCTTGATTAACTCAGCAGTGAGTCAGATGTTCAAGCAGCTCCCTGAGGGAAATTTAGGGGTACAAAATAGAAATCAAACGACAGCAGAATTTGTATGTTTCTTGGCCCTTGTCAGCCATGAGGTCTGACCATCTTCTGAGATTCATCTTCTGACATCAGGGGTAATATATGTTTCTGGCTGTTCAATGTGGTTTCGAAGAGCAATTTTAAAGCATGTTAGTCAATGGGACCTTGGTTTGTTCATTGATATTGTTCATACTGGTCAGTCTGCTTAAACAGTTCTGAAGTAAGCCTACTCTTGTTTATTTTGAAATACAGAACATAAACAGCTTTGAGTTTTATTTTCGAGGGACTTACTCTGGTAAGTAGCTTCGGGAGCTCTATGTATGATAGGTAGGAAATAACAGATAATTCCATATTGGTACTGGGAATCAAACCATGGTCATCTGTGTGGAAGGCTATTGGTTTCACCACTGTATCTGCAGACAATGGAACAGCAATGGGTCATCCACTCAGAAAATAAAGGACCAGTCCCGAGTTAAATGAAATTCCAGATTATTAAATTTGCTGTGATTAAGCTGTATTGTGGTTTCTTTTTGGGAATGATTTTGTACGGAAGTTGTGATTAAGCTGTATTGTGGTTTCTATTTGGGAATGATTTTGTACGTAAGTTTCGAGTAAGCTGTATTGTGGTTTCTATTTAGAAATGATTTTGTACGGTAGTTGTGAGGAAGCTGTATTGTGGTTTCTATTTAGAAATGATTTTGTACGGTAGTTGTGAGGAAGCTGTATTGTGGTTTCTATTTAGAAATGATTTTGTACGGTAGTTGTGAGGAAGCTGTATTGTGGTTTCTATTTAGAAATGATTTTGTACGGTAGTTGTGAGGAAGCTGTATTGTGGTTTCTATTTAGGAGTGATTTTGTACGGAAGTTGTGAGTAAGCTGTATTGTGGTTTCTATTTAGAAATGATTTTGTATGGAAGTTGTGAGTACAGCTATATTGTGGTTTCTATTTGGGAACGATTTTGTACGGAAGTTGTGATTAAGCTGTATTGTGGTTTCTATTTGGGAATGATTTTGTACGGAAGTTGTGATTAAGCTGTATTGTTGTTTCTATTTGGGAATGATTTTGTACGGAAGTTGGGAATAATTTGTACGGAAGTTTCGAGTAAGCTGTATTGTGGTTTCTATTTGGGAATGATTTTGTACGGAAGTTGGGAGTAAGCTGTATTGTGGTTTCTTTTTGGGAATGATTTTGTACGGAAGATGTGATTAAGCTGTATTGTTGTTACTATTTGGGAATGATTTTGTACGGAAGTTGTGAGTAAGCTGTATTGTGGTTTCTATTTGGGAATGATTTTGTACGGAAGTTGGGAATAATTTGTACGTAAGTTTCGAGTAAGCTGTATTGTGGTTTCTATTTAGAAATGATTTTGTACGGAAGTTGTGAGTAAGCTGTATTGTGGTTTCTATTTGGGAATGATTTTGTACGTAAGTTGGGAATGATTTTGTACGTAAGTTTAGAGTAAGCTGTATTGTGGTTTCTATTTAGAAATGATTTTGTATGGGAGTTGTGAGTACAGCTGTATTGTGGTTTCTATGTGGGAATGATTTTGTACGGAAGGTGTGAGTAATCTGTATTGTGGTTTCTATTTGGGAATGATTTTGTACGCAAGTTGGGAATGATTTTGTACGTAAGTTTAGAGTAAGCTGTATTGTGGTTTCTATTTGGGAATGATTTTGTACGGAAGCTGTGAGTACAGCTGAAACAAATGAATCCATGTCTGGGTGTTGATACCTCAGGCGTGTCTGAATTATTGAGTGTTCCGTAATTTAGGACCTACCTGGGGCAATTTTGGATCCTAGCTGTGAGGAAGGCAGGTCAGTGTCAGAGACAGGCACCACAACATGCTTCTGTAGCTAGAGGCTGGTTAACAGTGGTGACACAGTTCCTTAACTTGCTGATTCTTTTACAATACCGTAATTACCAGTAAATTTTCGCTGCAGTTTAATTTTCACCTTTTCTGCCCTACGTCATGAGAGCAGATTTATCACTACAGCGAACACAATATATATATAAATCAAATGTAAAGGGGGAATTTAATATTGGGTGAAAAATTGTTTTTCCCATTGGAGGACGAAAATATGACTGGGCGAAAAATTCCGGCTATACAGTTCAGTAGTAAAATAAACAATTGTCCTCAAATTCATTTTTCATGGGATTCAAGGGAAAAGTCTCTTATTTGGTAGGCTTGTATATAAAACTTTTTGCTCTTTTATATTCATAGAAAATGTTAATGTAAAAATGTATGGGAACAGACCCCTATGATGAGAGATTAAATTTAGCTAAGATATGGTTGAAGATAAATTTTCTTGGATTGGTGTGTTTTCATAAAAATTCAGTAGACACCTTTAATCTACAAGTATCTTTGTTATTATATGCAACTAAACAGCTACAGAGGAAGATTTTACTCAATGCATTGAAAATCGAAATCGAAACAAATTTAAATGTTGACTTGCACAAGTGTATTGGTTAACAAAAGCCTGATTTGTAGAAGCCTGCACTAAATATTTGGACAGATTGATCTGGTTCATGTTTTTTTCTGAGTTCACTGT